AAAATAAATAAAAATAAATTGAAAAAAATATACATTCTCTTTTAAAATAAAATATAGATATTAGCGAGTATTATGTAGTCGGTAATGCCTAACTATAATATTCCTACTATTTGCTCTTTGAGCGAACATCTATTTAGCTAACATTCTTACAAAATTCTTTGCCTAGAATTTTGCTTAGATTTCCAACATCTTTGCCCACTGTGCTTTGCCATCCGAACTCTAATGCCAACTGACAATTTAATGAAAATACCAAACAATTATGACGCACACTGCGTTAAGTTCCCGGGACTCGTTTCATGCAATGATGATTGGCGAAAAGCAATTTATTGATTGGCAGCTGAGTAAATAATACACGATTAGAGCTTTCCACAACGCTTGAGCTTAGTTAAGTTCGGCTCCATTCAGTTGAGCTGTCGACAATATTTTGTGGGTTCCCATATTCCACTTTAGTTTCCCTTTCCTTCTTTTTTTTGGCATTCCAGCGATTAAGCAACACGCAAAGGTCGCCAAAATACAAAATATTGATTATTGCCCCCCGGCTAGACGCTCCAGCAATAATAATAACAAATAACAACAATAACAAGAGCAACCCACACAACTAGTTGGGCTCGGCCGCAGTTCAATAAAGTGGAACACCGAAAAGGGTTCATAGGAAGTATTCAAGTGAAATTGATTGAAGCTGCTGGCTAAGGCTGGGAACTAGAAAATAAAATAGAGGAGGAAAAAAAAAAAAGAAAAAACTAAAACAAAACAAACGAAATTTAATCAATTCGCTTAACTTTAATTTAATCAGTTTAAGTGAAGAAAATATGCAATGAAACCAAAAGTTTTTCTTTGACTTGGTAACATCAAAGACAAGTTGCTGGCAAAGCTTAACGTGCACATTCAACACCTCATTTTAATTTTGAATCCTAAACTTGATGGGCAGATGGGATTACTAAAACATATATATTCTTGAGCAGATTGAGATCAGCTATGACAATCATTTATAACATATATATATTTATCCCACTCTCTCTCCCTCTCAGCGTCATTCTGCGCGCGTCTGCTCTACAAGCTATGCTCTTGCCATTTCAGATATATACATATGCGCCGTCATATCTCCAAGTCCTACGTATTACATTCGATTTCCTATGCATCATATCACAAGCTAGACCATGGAAGTTAAAAAGACTTTATTAGAATAATGCACTCCGAAAGGGGAACGACAATTTAATATATTATCTGAAATTATTACAGCTTTCTACTCGGCACATGATTATCAATTTGCTGCTCTTCACTTTGCCAATTTGCTGTGGATAGGAAATCGATGAGCAGAAGCGAGGGAAAATTGTATTTGGAGAGTAGTGGAGAATACGTACAATTCGAATAGTGGTATAAAAAACAGGCACATAACGCCGTTACATATATGGCAAACACCCGCCAATAATCCAAAAACACCTGCTATATAGAAATATTTTGCCGATTCATTGCCACAGTGATCCTTCATAGCGTAGAGCAATATGCTAGCAGCAATTAACAGCAAAGCTCCGCAGGTCAAGTTGAATATTATGGACTGCAAGGGATACAATATTGATTTTAAAGAATGTGAATCAATTGCATAGCTATACTCACGCACAATTGGGTCCAGGCCCAGACTGCTACAGAAGATTCGATATATTGCCAAAAATATCGTATGTAGGGTAATGCCTGGTAAAAAATATATGAGGAACCATATTGAGACACTATACTCGCCGCCCCGGACACAGTGCGAGTGAAGCAGCTTGACAATGAAATAGATTGCGAACAGTTCGAATAGCTGTTTGAATATACATATTGATTGATGGATTGATTGTCATGCAGGAGTAAACTTTGGATCAACTATTTTATTGATTAAGTGGATTTCTGGTGCGATCTTTGCCTAGCTTACCGCTGAGATAATTGTTAATGTCCAATTTGCGAAACGAAAAACTGTCATACTGTGAATTTTGTAATCACTGACAGAAAAAGCAAATCCGATGCGACCGCCCACACAACTGGGGATAACAACGACARGCCCCCTTCAGATCCTGCTGAAAAATACAAACAAAAAACAAAAAATCAAATAAAATAAATATAAATAAGCCAAACGAAAACGAAAAGGGTTCCATTGCCGACACCGTTATTGCCCCAGGACTGACCTCGTTTGGCTGGGGGGTAAGTCGTATCGCTAATTTCATTAGTTGCGGAATGCGATGCGATGATTTCATGCAATTTAAAGCCACATTTTTCAGTCGCCTGGCATTTAGCATACTCGTAATTGTAGACGTGGCCCATACCTGGGCCCAGCGCGTCCAGAGACCCGGCCGAGAGCCGAGAGCCGAGAGCCGAAAGCCGGGCCCAGCCCAGCCCAGCCAGAGAACTCAACCCTCAGGCTTTTATAATAATTGCCTGTTGACACGGGATGGCAATGGGGTCCAGTTAGCAGACGGGTCAGGTGGGAGGTGCCGTGGTAAGTAAGGTTTTATGGCCCTGATAAATGAAATTTCAAAACGAAGCCAAAACAAACCAATGGAAAGTGTTTTAGTTGGGCATGTTCAACTAGAAGATACCCTGTGCCAAGCGATGCAGCTTAAAGCTGGTTCAAAACTTTTTTTGGTACATATCCAGGAAAATATTTTTGCTATAGCTAAAACCACTAAAGCAGCACGAACACAGCAAATTTGATGATTGTAGCTCTTACAGTTCTCGAGTAATGCCTGAAAATAACTTATCGTCTTATCCGAAAGTGTACTACTGGGTCCTAGAGCAATACATATTCACAGTGAACGAGCCGTACCTCTTAAATTTCCCAAGCAATGCTCAAGAAATCGATTTCCGGTGGATTTTGAGCAAAATTTGGAAAATAATTGAACATGTCTAAAATATAATTTACAGAAATTATTATCATGGCTTACCTTATAGTCGTAACACATAGTTCTCGAGATATTTTTGAAAAAATCAGATTTTTCGATTTTCAAAGAAGTCACAGCAGAAAAGGAGTGTAACTGTTTGTAAATATGATTTACTGATAGATTTTAAAGATAGAAAAGTAGTTTTCGACTCAAATAAAAAATAGAGTACATCTTCAAAAAACACATGATACCCAAATCCATATACCCAAGCCTCCAATGTATAACAATGAAAGGCAAAGTGGCCAAAACATAACTTGAATCAACTACAAGCCCAATTCTACCCTCAACGCCGCCACGACTTTACTAACTGTTCTTGCTAGTTCTATACCTCTCTCTCTCTCTCTCTCTCTCTCTCTCTATGTCTCTCTATTTAATTTTGCTACGATTCGATGACAGCTCGACACTTGGCTCATTAAATAGCCAATTTCGTATCGATTTTTATTAAAAACAAGATATTCTGCTATGGCCTAGAAAATTTAAAGCCACGACAATTGCAGGTTGGACCGCAGGGCAGTCAAAACTAGTACGCCAGGATATTGTAAGAGACTTGGGCAAATTTATGGGCAAATTTTCAAGCAGCAACTTTTACAGGCTTATATATACGCCGGGAGAGCTCGTGGAAAAGTATGTGCAATCCCAGGCGCATCCAAAGTGGAATGAAAGAGACTGAAAATAAAAAAACAAAAACTAAAGAAAAGTACCAAAGAAAATGCGTCAAGTTATGAGATGACGAAGTGTAAATACGCTTTCATAAAAATATAGAGACACTTTTTCACTGTGCATTTCTGATGCATTTCAGAGAAGTTTGAGGAGATACGGAGTGAAGAGTGAATCCGAGGAAAGGAATTTAAGAGTGTAATTTATTCATAGCTTTGACATGTTTTTCAAATTTAAAAAGTGTAGCATCTACATATTTGATCAAGCTGGAGTCGATCTCTTAGCTGCTTGCAACTATAATATATGCTATAGATCTATCCAAAAATCCTCAAATCGATATCTTATGCGAAAATCCCAAATATATCATCAATAAAAATCGATGCATCACTGCGAACTGAAACCATCTCTTTCTCTTCCAGAATTTTATTTGTTAAGCAGAATCTTTACCTTTTATTGTTACATATTCGATGGCAAATTGATCATGGCCGAATGCAAGTGCATGGCAAAAAGGAAAGTCGACGCATTTGCCTTGTTAAAACAACAACGGAAATGTAGGCTATGATTTGCTTACTTGCCAGGACATTTGCTCTGTAAAAGTGCTGAAATATGCACGAACAACTATGTATAGGTATATATGTGTGTGACTGTGTATGTGACTGTGTGTGTTTGTATGCTTGTGTTTATATTGGAACTTCATGACCGTCACACACACACACACACACATATAGTCACACACACAATGACAGCTTACATTGGTGTTGCTTGAGAGTTGAGAGCGCACATAAATCAAATACATGTAAAATTTTGTGCTTTCCGCACACATATCCTGCGCCAGGGCATTGGCCATACACGCAGGACATCATACGCTTACTTTCTCTGTCTGTATATGTGTGGTTTTCTGTGTCTCTCTCTGTGTGTGCGTGTGTGTGTGTGTGCTTGACTCTGTGTGCACTGTGTTTTGTGCGCATCCGTTAACTTTGTCATTTTTGCTCATTTCCTTCCGGTATGTGCAAGAAAAGTGCAACAAAGCCAATGACAACAACAACAACAACAAACTACAAGCCAAACGATATAATTCCCAGCACTGCAGCGCTGCACCACTGCATCACTGCACCACTGAGCCGCTGAGCCACTGACAGGCCGTAAGAAAGCAAACAACAACAGATGAAAGCAAGCTAACAAAAAAACAATAACAACAACAACAACAGCAGTATGCACAGCGGGAACAGCAGCAATAAGCTGGGGGCATAACTTGCTGTAACATACACACACGCGATAACTCCCCCCCCCCCACACACACACACACACACACAGGCGCCCTCAGTCAAGAAATTACTAAGACATTGGGCTTGCTATAAACTTTGCAGCTGGAATTTAATTATTTTGCAGTTGCAGCTGGAGCTTGGGCTCAATTTTTTGCACATTAAACACAATATATGTAATACACAATAGTTGCCAACAGATAGCAGACCACGCCCCCTTACACACACACATCCGCCTCAACTGTAAAAGCTGCCAAAATAGCAGCATTTGCATGTGATTTCGCTGGCATTTATTTCAGTCACACGCTGAGCTTGCTTTATGCAAAGTCAAAATCGTAAATTAGTAAACGAAAAGAAACAAATGGAAAGAAAGCGGGTCTTATAGACTGAATAATACTCTGTTAGGAACATTTATTAGATGAAACACATGATGTGAGACCTTAACCTTAACCTTAACCTTAACTTGGGCTTGGAATTGGACAAAATGCTCTAGGGCCATCGTGTCGGGTGTAACAGACTGAAGCATACTCTGTTAAGCTCACTTATTAGATGAAACATACTATATAAGACCTTAGCTTGCGTTAAGAATTAGGCAAAAGACCACCTCGTAAGCGGGTCTAACAGACTGAAGCATACCCAACACTTGTTAGCTGAAAAGGTTTATATAAGACCTTGGTATTCAAGTTGCACTAAAGAAGTTACTTAGAAATATTTAAATTGATGAGAAATCTATCAAATAACAGTTCCTAAAATAATAAAAGCTACTCATTTGCTCAGTATGCCTATCTAATACGCTAGTTTCCTAAAGAGTTTGAGAGTCTTCTCTATGCTTAATTTGAAACCACTTTCACAGAAAATACAAAAACATCCATATTTATTTTGTAAACATATATCAAACTTGAAACCAGCAACAGAGCTCATATCATTATGATCGCTGCCACATTTCACAAAACCAATATGCTCTACATATCATTCGATAATCGAGACTCAATCAACATTCCAACAAACAATCTTTGTCAAACAAAAATAATTCTGTTATAATTATACTTTTATTTATTTTGCTTACGAATTTGGCAAGAGCTTAAAATATTTATTTCGTTTGGTACAATTGCTTACATGCTTAAAAAGTTCCTATGGGTTAAGTAATTCACAAAAATAAAGCTCTCTAAATACATATATATAAAATGAAGTTTATTGAAGCTGCTGCACAGCAGCTTTGCTGCACACTCAAAGCCAGCCGCGTTGACTGAAGGCAAAGCTACTACATGCAACTAATTAGCATGGCTTGTTGAACTTTTTCAAAAAACCAATTAAATCTCTAGAACATACACACACAATCACACAGAGACACACAACTTGGTAATGAAAAACACGTGTGTGTGTGTGTGTGTGTGTGTGTATTACGAGCCTTTGATCAGAAAAAGTTTCGCGTCTAAAGAGAAACGAATACCGTCAAACGCGTCAAACAACTTTTGGAAAAAAAAGTATTTTTTAATAAAAAATATATACATATGTAATAAATGTGTATATGTGTGCATGTGTAGGTGCAATGACCGCCTCTTAACTTTGTCGCATGGGAAAAAGAAATTAATATCAAAATAAAAATTACAAACGACAAATAACATTATTAACGTGAAATTAAACTTTGCAAATTTGTTTGCCAACGCCGTCAGACATGGCATAAAAAAATAAATAAAACATACTTGACAGAAAGCTTAAAAATAAAAAAAAATTAACAGAAGGTGACATTTGAAAACATTTTCATATAAGCGGAAAATTAGCTTATGAGGCGAGAGTTGCCAAAGGATTTGGGAAGACAAATAAGTAAAATATTAAACTGAATGTTAAGTACATGTAGGCTTACAGTAATTCAAAAGAATAATATAAATATGATTTTAAAATCGAATTAGACATGTCCTCACAATAGTACAGATTATGGTATATAATGGTATAGATTATTACAATTCAAGCATAATATAACAAAATATTGTCTATCTAGATTAGCGATATTTGAATTGCCTAACTCTCCAACTGTCTGAAAATACCAAAAATATATTTGAAAACATTAGAAACTGCCCATGAAATATGAAACGAGGGCCATCCAGACTTCAAAGCAATGGCTCAAAGACATAATAGGCTACCCTCGCAGATGCTCAAACATATAACATATAATAAAGTGAAATGCGTGTGGCATGGGACAGCCGGGCAGAGGGGAAGAGGGGCAGAGGGGCAGAGGGGCATCGGCTGCAACTCTACCTATGCAACTTTCCAATGATGCAACTTTTTCCTTCCATTTTTTTGCTGCTGCTGCTGCTGCAGCTATTTGTCAAGTGGGCAAAAGTTGAAACGTATGCGTAACACGTACTATATGGAATGCTCAACTATGTAGCAGAGTGTAGAATAGTGGTAGAATGGTCGAGTCTTGTGGGGGGCTTAGTGTCAGCTTTAAAGTGCAACCTTGTTGAAATGGAGTACAAGTGCAGCTAAATTAAAGTTTCACATTTTTCTTCGTCGTCTAACCAAACACTTTTTAACAAGTGTGCGGGTGAGTCTATGTGTGTGTGAGTGTTTGTTTGTGTGTGTTTGTGTCTAAATGTGTTTACTTTTGCAATTTCCTCTTATTTGTTTTAAGTTTTTGGGCAAACAGTGCGCACAGTGCGCTCTGTTAGCTGTTGACGTTAAGTTCTCAGACCCAAAGTTTTCAGAAGTAATCTTTTAATTAAGTGCCCGAAAAAAGAAAAAAATGTGAGTAGCAGGGCAGCAGACAGTGAAAATTATGAGGGATATGCAACAGGAACAATATATATATAGAGAGCGCTAAGGCGAGCTCCTAGCTAAACGGCCACAGACAGTGGGCAAAATGTAATTTGATTAATGGGAAAATGTTGTGCTTA